TTATTTGAGTAACTTTTTGAGGCCATCCTTCAAATTACATTAAAGTAGGGGTATTATGTGAAATGGATTTCTCTTGTAACGTTCCCCCAATAAAAAAAAAAAAAACAGGTGTAAAGAGGTTGTGTATGTCATCCATGCGTGTTTGAGTCATTTTGTGATCTCTTTTGCGGTCCCTATTCGAACCCTCCACTCGGTTAGTTGTAACATTCTGTGCAATGCTCTGCCCACAAGTCTACGCTCCCATACGACATGCTCTGAAGGGGAAGTGAATGAGCACACAGAGCAATGGACGGGGGACTTTTAAAACAAGCCAAAATGTTGTTTTCAACTAATATAGCATTTTCAAAAGAATAAAATGTTAAATGGTGATCTAAATATGTTATTCATTAGCAGTTAATGCCCTATAGAAGTAAAATACCTCCTCTTTAACTTCAAATTTCAAATCAGGTGTTACACTTAGCCCTTACTCAGTCAGTGCTCAGTCAGCAGATGGATTACTAATAGCCTTATGTTACTGTAATTCAGTAGATTTTTGGGGCAATTTTAATTGTTTATAATTGGTTGTACAGTACAGTACAGTTTTTTATACTCTTTCATTACAGAATGGCTTAAAGCTTTCAAGAAGCAATTTTCTGTAATAGGGGACCTTTAATAAATAACTGCATTTAAAACATTCAACATCATTGTTTGTGTAATCTTAGAGTCAGCTAAATAAATATTATTTAAAAGGCCCATATTACACTATTTTCTGATCTGTTCTAATATACTTTCCTCATCACAAACATACCTGGAGTTTCATTAACACATAAGTCTTGCATATTTTGTCCCTCAAACTGAAAACACTAATTTCCACTGTGTTATGCCATGTGGTAATACAGGAAGTGCTCCACTGTGGTTATAAAATTAATGATTTTACCTTTTGGAGGTTTCATGGCAATGTACAATGTAATCAACAGCAAAAACTGTCTCTTGCCCCAGTCATCACATTCTCGAATCTGAAAACTACCCTTTCAAAAGTGATGCCATTAATCACGCCCAATGATGTGATTGAGGTTAGTTTAAGTTAATGTGGTGTGTTTGTGAGCAGTAAATGAGTGGACGTACCAGTGAGGAGCAGGGCAGAACACAGCAGAGCCGTCAACTTCATCGTGAGGAATGGATGTGTCTACAGAGTGTGAGCAGGTGCAGCTTTCTCAGGCTATATGCTGATGTCAAGGTTAGACAGGTTTACACAGCTTGTGCTCTGCAGCTTGTACACAAATATAGGTGCATCCCTTAAAGTAACGATCACAAATGGACTGAAGAATATTTTATGCACCTTGCTACAAATATCGGTTATTGGCCACAGAAGCTCTAACAAATCCATATCATCCCATTGTAATCTGGATAAATATTTTTACTTAACATTTTACTCCACTCTTCCAGTCTCCTGCCGACTTTTCCATTTGTTCCCAGGTTACTCATACAGAAGTCAAAACTTATCGGTTCCAGGCAAAATTGACTCTTGTCATCCTAAGCCATGTTATAATGCTCAAAAACATATATGGAGTTGTGTTTTGTTTCATTCACATATGTTGGAGTAATCCTGCATTATTAGTTTGTCTACATTTCCAAAGCTCAAAATGCTCTGTTCCACCTTGTGATGTCACGAAGTTGCTACTTTTTACCTTTTCTTCAGAAGAAATTTGCAATTCCAGGGTTGAAATTATTCAAATGATTCTAGTGAATGTGTATGGAGTTTAAAAACACAGTAGAGCACTTCCTGTATTATCACATTACCACCAGTTTTCTGTTTGAGAGAAGAACTTAGCCTAAATATATGCAGGATCATTATGTTAAACATCTCTGAATGACCAAAAAACAACTCCAGGTGTGTTTCTGATGATGAAAAACACAGCATTTAATAAATTTAGAATTTTACAAAGGTAATTCCATAACTGTTATTTAGCAACCATACTGTAAATAAAAGCCAACACTAGTCTTGTCTACATTGCACAATAACCCTATGGTTAGACTAATAAAAATAAATGACAACGCCTTTATTTTAATAGTTGAAGCACTTACTTGATATTTATCACAGATACCATTCCACCAAATAAGAGTAAAAATTAGAAAAAAAAAAGATGAAACCTGTCATATGCACTATGATGGTGTGTTTGAGGGAGAGGCTACAAGCATTCATGGCCCTGTTTAGGTGTATGGTTTTCAACAAAAGTAAGAGACAAATTGAAAAACTGTTGCCTAATCCTAGCTATCTTGGGACTATAAAATTACTTGAGAGGGACTTGTTTAATAGCTCATCAGCTCATCTGCTGTAGTTTCAACTAAGTCGGTTCTTTATAGTAAGATAATGTTCTTAATATTCAGCATTTAGTTAAGGGGACATTCACATACAAGTCAGATCCAAACTTCCATTTTCCAGCTCTGTCCTCAGTCCTGATTAAGAGTTTCAGAGACTGAGTTTCTATATTAAAAGTGACAAAGTTTGGACCTAAGTCCTTAAAGGTTGTATAGAGGATTTTCCAAGGAACGAGAAATCCAGCGACTGTTTGTCCTTTTTCAAATTTGCGCATGCGTGAACCACCCCCCTCCCCTACAGCTCCCTACGTGAAACGCCTTCTCCCGCCTCCTCATACGCCAGAACAGGTTTGTTTACAGCCGGTGAGCTGCACATGACTTGTAAACAACTAACTACAGTGTTGGTTAGGCAAGGCGGAGAAGTGAGGAGCGGGGGGAGCGGGTGTGCGGACATTTCGTTCGCGGACGAGAAGTGAGGAGCAGGGAGAAGAGCGGAGCAGGGAGAGGAGAGAGGAGAGGAGAGGGGAGCGGTGCGCGGAGATTCCGTGCCCGGTAGAAGTGAGGAGGGGAAGAGCGGAACGGCAGCGGGGACAGGAGTAGGAAGGGGTGCAGAGAAGGTTGCGCGGAGATTCAGTGCGAATGAACTAGCTACAACACGCAGCAGCAAGCGGACTCTTTCTTTGCCTTGAAAATTACGTTTTCAGACATAGGATATCGCTTTTCGTGTCCTGAAAAACGTTTGACTAGCTCTTGGAAATAAAGTACGTTTTCATAATAAGCAGAAGTTACCTGTCCAGGAGTAATTTGGCGACCAATGCGTCAGTCTTTAGACCCTGCGTCTGCTTCAGTCGCGCCATCGCTGGAATGAATCTACAAGAATCACCTTAGTTTGGCTTCGCTGCTTTTCCCTTGTCTTCTTCTTTCAGCGACCTCAAAAACGGACTTTCTTTTGCGGCTAACTGCTCCTGGATTCTTGTCTGCCATTGCAACAAACTTTGTGCTAACTGCGAGGAAGATATAGGTCAAAAAAAGCCGCTAAGAACTGTTGCGTTGGTGGAGTAAACAGCGTCTGTGCGTCTTGCGTCTGTGGACTGCGTGACAGGCGTACGTAAACCACGTACCGGCGGCGCGCAGGCAAGTCAGTTACGCTAGAAACGTAGGGAGTTTGATTGATAGCCTGTCAGCTACAGATAACGAGGCAGTGTCGTTATCTATTGGCAATTTTAGCCCCACACGTCCAGAGTTGATGAATTTTTATTCTCTTTTTTTTGGTCATCATAATTACAAGGCTACTGCACCTCTATAATGCTATCATTGACAACTTGAAACAAAAAAAAAACAAAAAAAAATCTCAACAACCTAATTTATTATGAGTTGTGATTCCGTCCCGTGACTACATCTCCCACAATGCACCACAGTTGTTTCCGGGAAGTGAAAAAGCGCGCTATAAATCAAGTTTGATTGACGAGAGGTAGCTTTATAGTGACAGAGGAAATTGCTGGCGCTTCCAAGTGCGTCTCTGAGGGTGCGTTTATAAAGCAGTGCATGCTGTAGGGGTGTGAGCAGGTATGACCGGACCAGATACAGACTTTTTAAAAATGTCAGTTTGTCAATAAACACCATTGCAGACCGGGTGAAAGAGCGAGCGGGGAATCTTACAGATTCTCGCAGATTACAAACGACGCAAGCAGTTTTCTGTTTTAATTAATTAGCCATTGATGAAAGCACAGACACGGCACAGTTGTCCATTCTTTGTGCGAGGTGTAAAGGCCGATCTGTCTGTCACCGAGGAGCTGCTCGATATAGTTGTCATGCATGGGACAACAACAGGGAAGGAGATTTTTGAGGCGGTGAAGAAGTCCGTAACTAGCTGTATATCGTGGGAAAGATTGGTGGAGCTGACTACTTATAGCGCTCCTGCAGTGTGTGGCGAAAGAAGAGGTTTGACTGGACTGGAAAAAGAGAAAAGGCTACTAGAAAACGGTCCCGCACCTCCGATAACCTATCATTGCATCATCCATCAAGAGGCTCTGTGTGGAAGGGTTCCGGAAATGGGTGATGTTATGGCCACGGTAATGAAAACAGTAAACTTTATTCGTGCGCGTGGCCTAAATCACCGCCAGTTTCAGCACTTTTTACTAGAGATGGGCGGTAAGCATGGAGATGTCCCGTATGACACAGAAGTAAAGTGACTCAGTCAAAGCGCTGCCCTCAGGCCCGACAGCTCATATAGGCAGATAAGGCGCTCGCCAGGGTGCTACATGTGTCTGGGGCGCCATCTAGTGGTGGCCGTCACCATATTTTCTTTAGCCTACCTGCCCTAACTGGAATTTGCTTATATATGACAGAACTCGGACTGGCAATCTGTACGGGCCCACGCGCGGTCTTCAGTGTCGACTGGCCTGAAATGCGCTCTTGCCACACCACCTCAACAAGTCCACAAAAGCTCTATCACAGGGGTGTCAAACTCATTTTGGTCCAGGGGCCGTATTTATTTATTTGAGACAGGGGACAGCACACAATTTTTCGCATTAACCTTGACAGGAGAGATGCATTGTACATCAGGTTGTAGCATCAGTGCTAATTTCCACCTGTAGTTTTGTATTTAATTGACCTTGACTATCAACTGTTCTGGAGACCTGTAGCATGTTTTGGGTTGATGGGAGAAACCAGAGCACCCAGAGGAAACCCACCCAGACACAGGGAGAAACATGGCAAACTCCACACAGAAAGGCCCTGGGCGACCTGGGGATTGAACCCAGAACCTTCTTGCTGTGAGGCATGAGTGCTAGCCACTCAGCCACCATGCCATATCCAACCTACTTTGATCCCAAAGGGGCCGGATTAGAAAACTCATGGCATATAAACCCCAAAAATAACAATAAGTTCAAATATTTGTGCAGAGAAACGCAAATCTATTACAGAAATATTTTTTAATTGATGAACTCTTTCTTTTACAAAATATTATAATATTATGAACAACCTGAAACTTTAAGGAAAATCCAATTTCAACACAATGTTTTAACATTAACTTGTATGTAAATAGGAATAAGTCAATTTTTCTTGGAAAATCCTGCACTCGGCTCCACTTTTCTCATTTTTGACATTTTGTTGATGAGTGTGTCACGGTCAACAGTCAAAACGATCGTCCTTTAAGAGCGTTTGGAAAGAGACAAGTCTTCATTTGTGCTGCTCTGGTGGGAGGGGCCACGTATAGAGACGCTGGAGATGCTGCTATGCTAAGCGATGCAGAAAATTAGCAATATTTTAATAGAAAATATAATTAAAATATTGTAATAGAAAATCAGCCAAGGGCCAGATTAAAGGTCTTGGAGGGCCGGATCTGGCCCCCCCGGGCCGTATGTTTGACACCTATGCTCTATCATATGTTAAAACGCACTATACGGAAAGATTTTGGTGTACCAGATTTCACTTTAATCTTTTTATTTAAAGACATTTAAATTTTTAAACAGTGCAGTATTATGTCTCGAACATATCTGCCTCACTCATGGTCCAAACGCACCTACCGAAAATGACTTGGAAAATATGTCAGTGTGGCGCGGTGCTACAGAATGGAAACAAAGTGCTACAAATGCATGCATCATGAATTTCGGACTTCTGGTCATTGCTCAGTGCATACTGGGAAGGATTTTCCAAAAAAGTGAGCATCAAACCGCCATGTTTGTTTTCCCGGTGGGATGCGTCTATTGTCAAAGTCGATATTTTCAAGTCTTTTGAACCACATCACTTTTGTTTCTGGTTCTGATTTTGTCATATTTTAGTTATGGGATTCAGACATTGTAATTGTGTGGTTGTTGAATGTCCTAACAGCGGAAAACGGCTAGAGAAACAGGCTTCGGCTACCTGTTAAAAAGTTTAACATATCTCTGCTCTCGTGTCTTTGCTATCTTGGTGGTGGTCGAAGAGGCCAGTGGTACAGATTGGCAGCCTCACTTCTGTCTGTCTGTCCAGGGCAGATGTGGCTACAGAAATTCCTTACCATCACCAAGTGTGAGGTGAAGTAATAACTCTGACTTGTATGACGCTTAATTTTTGCAGCTTGCGAGACTTTACATCTGTTTAAAATAGGGTTTTTCTGTGGCATATATCAAAAAGTTTAGAATATGCTTAGGCAATTCTGTCAGCACTCATCAAGACTAGAGCCTTGTGTGTACAATAAGAGAAAGCAATTCTGAAATAATACTCAAATCAAGAAGGCAAAGACATATGGCTAAAACAGAAATGCCAATGCAGATTACATGAGATCCCGAGGTAACTAGTTTATGAGTAAAAAATTTAAATACAGACCACAATACACAAAAATAGGTAAGTTACAAATGCAATTTAATAATAATAATTGTTTTTAAAACAGCATTTTTAAAGCTGGTGAAAGAATCTGCCTGCAGGAAATCTGACACATATTTCACAAAACTAAACATGTTTAGTTCCACAAGGTTGAGGAAAGGCTGAAGGACTGACTATATTCAGGATTTTTCCCTGGTCTTGACCATTGATGAAAATCTGGACATCTGCCTGGATCTTCACCAGGACTCTCTCCTGGACTCTCTCCTGGACTTTCTCCTGGTCCTGTTCTTGGTCTGTCTCCTGGTCCTGGACTTCCTGCTTCAGTTGCTTGATCATGTTTGGTCTAGACCCTTCAGGTGAACTCTTCGCTTCTTTGGTTACTTTTTGAGCCTGGGAGCCATTTTTCACATCACTGCAAAATAAAACAATAGAATGAAGTCAGTTGTTGTAAAATAATTGCAGTATCATAATTTGTCATTGAAACCAAAAGTCTGCTGTTATCTGTGTATTTGAATTAAAGAGCAGAACATACTGGAGCTGTGAGCTGTGAGCTTCTGCAGCAGTGTTTGTGACCAGTGTCTCCTGAATGTTCTGGTGACCTGTGGGCCTGAAAATGCTAAACTCTAGCTCCTCTGCCCTGCTCAGAACTCACCTCTTCTTGGTCTCTGGGAGGCCTCTGTCCAGAGCAGAGGGTCTTTTTCTCTTCTTGGCCCTCTTCTCACAAACTCTGAAGCGTTTGGCTGGTGTAGGACCACAGTCGGGGTCAGGGGTCATCCAGTTTGGACCAGGGCGTTTGGTGCCTCTTGAAGTTCTTGTCCAGTTTGTGGATGGAGACCCACAGTTGGAGACATTTGAGCTGAAGGAGCAGATCAGATCCCCCTGAGGGTTGATGTTACAGAAAAATATATATACATATTCAGTGTTGGGGAGTAACAGATTACATGTACCAAAGTTACGTAATCAGAGTACAAATGATGAGTAACTGTATTCAGTTACAGTTACTGTTTCAGTGAGTGGTAATTGGATTACAGTTACTTTGTTGAAATAAATGGATTACAGGGCGGTAATTTTCAGTTTTCACATTTTGGGCTAAACCAGGGACTAAACTAGGACTAAAACCAGAACTAAACTAGGACTAAACCAGGATTAAAACTAAAACTAAACTCGGACTAAACCAGGACTAAAACTAAAACTAAACTAGGACTAAACTGGGACTAAAACCAGAACTAAACTAGGACTAAACCAGGACTAAAACAAAAACTAAAGTAGGACTAAACCAGGACTAAAACCAGAACTAAACTAGGACTAAACCAGGACTAAAACTAAAACTAAACTAGGACTAAACCAGGACTAAAACTAAAACTAAACTAGGACTAAACCAGGACTAACACCAGGACTAAACTTGAACTAAACTAGGACTAAACCGGGACTTAAAACCAGAACTAAACTAAAAGTATGAAAATATCAAGTAATCCAAAATATTCAGATGACGCTACTCACTTTAAGTAATTTAATGGATTACGTTACAAACTACATTTTGGGGTATGTAATCTGTAATCTGTAGGGGAATACATTTTAAAAGTAACCTTCCCAACACTGTACATATTATATACTGGACGGCACAGTACATGTAGACTTTATGGATTTGCATTTAGCTGTGTGTTGTGGTCTGGTATTACCTTGTTCTCCTTCAGGTGGGGCTGAGTTGTAACAGTGAAGGGTCCAGACCTGACCAGAGGCACTGGCTGCTGGAAGAGGGTGGATGTGACTGATAAATATGTGTCAGTGAGAATGTACATGTGTGTATTTATGCATTAACGACACATTTAAAAGATATGCACAACTTTGGACACTAGGCCCATGTAAAGCACAGATCATATTTCCAAAGTGAAAGTTGACAGTGTGTTGTGGGCTGGTCTTACCTTGTACTTCTTCGGTGGGGGTGGTATTTGGTCCATTATTATATCTTTGTGTAGATGATGATTACACCTGACACCAGATGAATATGTGCTCAAGAAGAGGTTTGATGAACTTTTACTGTAACAGGCAAAAGTAGAGGAGTATTGCTGTTAAAGCATCGTTTACATGTGTATCCGATTTAAAATTTTTCATCTTTATCTTACAAAACAAACGCTGAGTTCATGTTATGACTAAATGCAACGCACCATTCAACAAGTCTTAATGCCAATGAAAACAAAGTGAAAACATGCATGTTTTACCTTTATTCCAGTTGATCCAAAACGGACTCATTCAGGCTTCATGAGTCAAAATTATAGTAGGCTATATCCCACTGATAAAAAAACCTGTTCCCTGTTCTGTAAATAAAACTATCACTGCACAGCTTCCTTTTATAATAATATCCTACACATATTTTAATATAATGATTACAAAACAATGCATGCAAAGCGTTTTTTTTCTGATAATTATGTATCACACATTTTTTAGCCCCCTAGTGTTTCCATCACCAGCTGCCACTGCAAATGAACATCAATATGCAAATTGTGTTTAATTTTTCATATTTTTCATAATTTCATTTTAAAAATTACTTACAGGATATAGTTCCAGTCTCCTTTTCACACAAAGCATATAACCATTTCTTTTAGCTGTTGGTGTAATGGATGTATTAAAAAAACTGTCCACTGTCAGAGATAAATAAGGCGGATCCGTGGAGAATTGTGCCTGAGCACAGGCCCCATCCCTTCCTCCGGCGCACTACCGCGGGTTCCCCTCCCCTCCCCTCCCCTCCTCCGCGCGCGCGACCGCGGGTTCTCCTCCCTCCTCCGCGAGCGCGAGCTCCCTGGGCGGAGAGAGCCACGCTCTCCCCTGGCTATGGGAATGAATGATAGATTGTTTCAGCTATATGATTGTTCTAAAATCAAAAAAAATCCTTTTTTTTTCATATCCCCACCAACGAACGGGAGGTCAAACTGCAATTCAGTTTGTGAGGAGCTAGAGTCTTAAAAGTAAAGTTGGTGGATCCAGAAGTGTTGTTTGTGACAGGAGCATTTCTAGATTCCCTCCTCTAGGGGGCAGTGTTCCACGCAGTTTTCAACGCTCATATGTCTTAAGGAACAGATAGGATGGTTGAAATCTACAAAATGAGACGCCACAGAATAGTTCATGTTTTTACATCTGATGATTCTCCTCTGCTCTGCAATACGTGTTTTTAAATCTGCTTGTTTCTGGCACAGAGGCTTTACCACAGGGGCAGGTGATCATATGAATGACATAATTATAAGAACATGTATTTGAGCAATAAGCAGAAAATCTAAAATTATATAAGCTATAGGCTATATAAAATATATTGAGTCTATATTTTTAGAAACAAAGTACTGTGTATCAGAGGTGGGGACTTGCAGTTCATCACTTGGATTCGAGTCAAACTTGAGTCACTATTTTTAAGACTTGAGACTTGACTTGATAAAATGGACTAAGACTTGTGACTCGACTTGGACTTGAAGGTCAGTGACTTGGGACTTAACTTGGACTGGAGCCCTGTGACTTGATAAAACTCGATGCTTCTCCTAAAAATATATATGTTTTTAGAAAATACTTTTCTCTTTTCAGTTGATACATGTAGTGTTTAATTTTACAGGAACAAACTGGGACACGTCACTCTTACTTCTCTGTTTGTCACTTTGGATGTAACTGAAGTACTGTGATGTGGTATCCTCAAATGTACTACAGTAATATACAGTACAATACAGTAAAACAGAGGGAACTACAAAGAACATGATCCTTCAAGTTCAGACTATGACAAAATAACTTATTTAGCACTCTTAAATCTTAATTCTTTCTGTCCTGACCGTAATGATTCACACTAAGATCTAATCAAAACATTTAAAAAGAAAAAAAAAAATGCATTTCTACAAGTGTTATATAAATACTCATATATAAATATAACCATTACTTTTTAAGTACAATTTAGTTTAAAAGTCATAGAAATAGCAAAAGTCTAAGCTGTGTTTGGTACTTTTTTGGTTTAAAGACTAGAAATGACTTGAAGCTCAAAGGAGACGACTTGGACTTGACTTGGACATATGGGCCAATGACTCGAGACTCGACTTGGACTTGCCTGTCTTTGACTTGGGATTCTACTTGGACTTGAGGTCAAAGATTCAGGACTTACTTGAAACTTGCAAAACAATGACTTGGTCCCATCTCTGCTGTGTATAGAAACTAGGGATGTAACAATAACCGAAATATCATGATATCATATTGTCAAAGTTCTTACAATAATATCATGGCCCATCACAATATATCGAATTACAAGGCTCTTTGCTTAAATTAAGAGTTATGGTGCAGCAACAGATAAAAAAAGACAGAAGGAACTACATAAACCATGATCCTTTGCTCCATTTCAGTGCAGACTACAAGAAGAAATAACAGTTCTAAGCACTTTTAAGTCTTAGTTCTTTGGATTAAGTCTTGTCAAAGCATTTTAAGAGGAAAAAGCAGCATATTCACAGTTTTGTTTGCCTCCATAAAATATTACAATAAATATCGTACCATGAGATGTATATCGTGAAAATATCGTACCGAGAGATTTGGATATTTTTACATCCGTAATCATGAGCCTCCCCACCATATCGCAATAAATATCAAATTGTGAGGTTCATACCATAATGATATCCTATCATCAGACTCATTTTTCCAATTATAAGAACAGCTCTCCATAGAGAGTTGAAAGTGTTGCAATGTACACGTGTTATTTTATTTCTTTATGTATATATATATATATATATATATATATATATATATATATATATATCATTTTTCTTCAGCTTTTCTGAAAAGGTAAACAGCACATAACACACAACACTGAACACGACATAGAGATAGAACAAATTAGACAAACTGCATCCTATGTTATATTTTACATTTAAACTTAAATAATGTTACGGCACATCCTGTCCACTGTATGAGTCCCAATTATTCCAAAGTTTATCAAAGAGGTCCATTTTCAAATTAAATCCAAATGTTTTTTTGTTTTTTTTCCATTTTTCAAATTTCATTTATAATTTCTGAGCAGTCTTTGATTGATGGAGCAGTTTAGTGTCATCCATTGTTTTGTAATGGCCTGTTTTGCCACCAGAAGTGTGCTCCAGAGATATCCATTGTGTCCATGGCAGGAGTTTTGAGGCCCAGATACAGAGTTCTAAAGTCGAGTGGGATGGTCATATTGTAATAGGCTGGATAGCAACCTTAGCGGTTTAAGAGGAACAGAGTCAAGTACAGCTGATTTATAGTGCAGATCCCCAGTGCATTTATTACATTCCAAGACAAAAAATTGAAAAATATTTACAAAAGTTACAAGAGTAAAAAGAGGCATGGCTCACACAGCACCTTCTTCTGACAAAGATGAGGCTGGCTTCTTTTATAGGCCTCTTCCTAATTGGGTGAGCTCAACTTAACGATCAGGTAAATTCAACCAATTTTACATTCCATATTTCAAGGATGAAAAAGGAAACCTTTGACTGCTTAAATCATCCCGAGTTTGCAGCGAACATTTTGTATGTGGAGCGCCAACAAAACAAAATCCCAGTCCCTCGTTCAACCTTGGTTGCGAATTTAAAAAGTCAACACCAAAGTGAAAGGCACCAGTTGTTCATCAAGGAACAACTTCCACTGCAAAGAGACCGAGACGTGATGTTGCTGTAAAACCACAAGAACAAGAAAGTGTGAGCTCAGTCTGTTTATCTTCTGCACCTCTCGCTTAACAAATGGGATCCCACTTTGATGGCGCTGCACATACAAAATGTTCGCTGCAAACTCGGGATGATTTAAGCAGTCAAAGGTTTCCTTTTTCATCCTTCCTGTGGATCAATCCTGCCCATCGCCTTCACCTTTCACTATTTTTCAATTCCGTTGGGAAGGAAAACAGTTTGAACAGAGGTTTGTAGTCACACAGATCTGAATCCCTTTTGCCTTTATGGAGTTTGCAAACAAATTTCTCGAGCCGTTTTCCACTGTTAGGATCCAACAACCACACAATTACGATGTCCAAATCCCAAAACTAAAATATGACAATATCAAAACCAGAAACAAAAGCGATATGGTTCAAAAGACTTGAAAAGACTGGCTTTGTCAATAGACGCATCCCACTGGGAAAACAAATTTGGCGGTTTGCTGCTCACTTTTTCTGAAAATCCTTCTCAGTATACATTGCGCAATGACCGAAAGTCCGAGATTCTTGATGCATCTATTGAACAAAGCCGAGAGTCACCATGAACGCGCCAAACGAAATCCGACTGACCCATCTAACTGTTGTGTTTCGTTTAAAGTCCGGTGCGGTTTATTGGTGAAAAAAGTTCAAAAATAGACCATTCAAGGATAGTGCAATTTGTAATCCAGAGCGCCCTATAGTGCAGAAAATACGGTAGAATGATAATGATGAAGTATCTTACACCGCATTAGCCCATGTCTCGCTGAAATAGAAGTGTGGATTTATTTACATATATATATTTTTTGAAGTGAGGCTGATTTCAGTGAGTAAATAAGAGTGTATAGCAGTATTTTTATTTCAACATTGCAAATAGCTCACATGTTTATTTTCTGTGTGATCCTGTAATAAAAATGCAAACCCCTGAATAGTCCATATTATTATGTCTGAAAATAATACAGCCAATTCATTACCCCCAAGCCAGACAGATCTTATCTCATTTACATAGACTCAATCTCCACCTCTGAAAGCCCCCTCTGATGAGCAGGTCCCTCCTCCGAGCAGCCGTCTGAACCAATCCCGGGGGCCAACAGCTGTGCTCCGGTCTGCCCCCGCCCCTTAGCCGGGCCCCTGGATCCGCTCCAGCGTTATAAAGCCATTGTCCAAAACCCCTCACTCAGCTCTGCAGTCTGCTCCTCGTGTCGGAGATTTCACGTTTTTACGCACGCTTTTAAAACTTTCGCCTTGAACCATGAGGGAAATTGTGCACATCCAGGCCGGCCAGTGCGGTAACCAGATCGGTGCCAAGGTAAGAAAGAAAGAAACTCACTAATTTATCGCCATTAAATTGTACAAATTGTCTCCAGGCATAGTGGAAGTCACAGATAATCGAGTGAAAGCAAAGGAAATCTCGTCGCAAATTATATTACGTGAAAAAATGGCAACCATAGATCAGAAATAACCCAAGATTTTCTTTTTTTTGTTGGTATATTGGGAATTTGCAGCTGATTTTAACCACTCCACTGCAGTAGTAGTAGAAAGTGGGTGTGGAGCAGACGGTCTTGCTTGCATCAAAACGCCAGAATAGCGAATTTTAATGTGATTATATCTATACATCCCCTAATTTACGTCTTCTACAGGTTTAATCTACCGGGGTACAAGCAAAAAATGACAAAGGTTTAATCAATTTTCCACTTGTTACATCTTATCAATGCACACTTCTGCGCTCTTTGTCTGCGCAGCTTCTGATTCTGGTTTCAGACAATGGATTGGAGTCTGCGTGGGAGGCCCAGCTATTTTTTTCCTGAATGCCTCATCGATCAGTGCATTGATTAGATCAGAATTATGCGATGGCTTCTTGTCTGCGTGCTTCAAGTGCATCCAGAGACCAGCATTTGCAGGGTGGGAGGCAAGGCAATGGGTGTGGCAGGCATGACTGGCAATGCAAGGTGTCTCCCAAATCAATTTAACATTTTTAAATCAGTT